TTGGATATAGCGGGGCTGTTCTATGGAATAGTTTACCTACGCAAGCAAAGCAAACAGAATCTTTAAGTAGCTTCAAAAATTTGATAAAATAATGTGTGCTACAGAGTCAGGCATCGAATAGTCTTGGTTTTTTAACTTTTTATCTACGTTTTTGTTATTCTATGTTATTCTATTTCATATTTATTTATATTAGTTTTTAGAATGTAATTTGTGTGACGCCCCTCATGAAAATCATCCATGGGTGATGAGAGAAGCGTGGTTAAATAACGTTTTACTACTACTACTACTACTACTACTACTACTACTACTACTACTACTACTACTACTACTACTACTACTACTACTACTACTACTACTACTACTACTACTACTACTACTACTACTACTACTACTACTACTACTACTGACATAGATACTTACGTTTGCCGAGGTAGAAGGCTGAGGCTCCTCAAAGATCTCCCCACCAGTCGAAGGTTCTTCCACATATGATAACTATAACATATATATATTCTATTTGTATGTGGTTTACAAACATATGACGACTGACATTGCCTTGATAAATTATCACACATCACTACAGGAAATATGATACATTGTTTCAAAGTCCAACATACCTGAGCTGGCTCCTCCATACTACTAGTCGAAGGTCCTTCTTCCATAAATGATAGCTATAAGTATAGAGATTCAAAGATCATAAATAGTTTAACACAAATGCATGAAATATAACTAAATACACACGATTCAAACTAAAACACTAGAAAATATACAAGAAACATATTTTTATATTCATACCTTTCCTCTGCGTTGCACGCGCACATTGCGTTCACTATCCAAACATGTCGCTTTTGGCATCAAAGATGAAACAGCAGTAATCCCAATTTCATCTCGTTTAAGCTTAGGGGTTTTGTATAGTGGGACTGTGTCGGAACCGTATTCAAAGCAGTCTTCCGTGAAGTGTTTTGAGCAAACAACTGAACCAGAACTTGGCGTCCATTGGTCTCTCTTCCGCCGAATAAAGTGCAACCATTTCTTTCGCCTGCCTTTTGCCACTTGCCGATTATCGTCGCAATAAGGTATATGATATAAAGATACACCTTTTTCTGATCTTGCTGTGTTGTTACAGCCATAGACAGCGCATCGTTCGAGCATTATTTCAAAAAACGCAACAGATATCACAAGCGAAAATATTTGTTTTTTATTAGGAAAGACGGC